ACTACTTGTTTTTTCTGTTTATGCTACCATAATAAATGAATAAACCCAATTTTTAAAAAGTAATGACTTAATTTATTATTATAAGTTTGATTAATTAGTAGGTCAAACTTTAACATGATCTTGTATGCACAACACAGAGATAAACCTAATAGAATGATTTTGGACTATTTGGTATTCATTAATTACCTCTGTGAACGTATGAGCCAGTCGTTGTTGCCTTATGAGTCACTGATAAGTAAAAACTGCTGACGTAACTAAAAATATCCTTGGCCTTATGTACTTTTAATTTCGTAAAGTCAAAAGCAAAATTTCATAATATAATTTATTAAAAAATTAATAATAATATATAACATACTTTATTAAATCTTTGAGTGATTTAAACGAACTAATTTGTACACACCAGACATTTTTAATTTCAAAATTAAAATAGATCATAAGGTTTTCTGACTGAATGTGCAAAAAATCTAGAATATTGCATATGTCCATTTTTAGAACAAACATTTGACCCAAGAAAGTGTAAAATTCGAACGTATACTTACTCTATTGATTTAGACATCTAAAACCTCGATTTCAGAGTAGCGTTCTTTTTGTAAGTAAAATCAGATTTTTTTTTCTTAAACATTTCAGTTTGTTGCTTAGCGGCACAATACATTTTATTTATTTATTTTTTTCGTCTAAAGGGAAAGCACTTCAGCTTACCTAGTCACCGTACGTTAGTAAACACTTGGTAAAAAAATTGGTCTAAAGAGTTTAGACAGTACTTCCCTCGCTGTCGGAAACTTGACGACTGCATGCCTATTGTGTTTTTTTTCTCATTACATTTTTGTAGTGGGAATTTAAAAAAAAATTGCGATGACGTCATCAACATTTTTGCAAGGACACGTATATCAGTTGGGATAGATGTAGTGTAATACTAAGAATAAAATTATTATATTCTCAAATTTTCGGGAAAATGAATTGGGTCGTTTGAATATTGATTTGTAATAATCAATAAAATAACGAAACAATTTACTCACGTATACCTACGTATCAGAGGCAACTGAAAATCGTGTATGTATAAACATTGTTAATTTAAGATGACAGGCGTAACAGCATACGTGAGAGCCAAACACAGAAACTGTAAACAAAACGACCGTCGGTTTTATTGCTTCGACTTCCGCTTATTATATAAAACATTGGGTTTTATTTTAATTCTTGACGGTGAAATTCACAATTGGTTGATTATAAACATGTCTATTTCACATTCGCGGAATCAAGTGAACGCATAAAACAAATGCAGGTCTGTAATGTTAAAGTCGATGTAAATAAGCGTGCTACCCTTATGTTTCAACCGAGTTTTTCCTTTAACAAATTTTGTGTCTACCAAATTGGGTTGGTTGGGGTGTAATACTAATAATAAGTGTTGCCTTTAATTTAATCAATAAAATAAATTGACTTCATTAATTTTTTTGAACCACCTCTTAAGAAAATCTAAAAAATATGAATGGAATGATAAATCACAAGTACAAACTCATCATATTTTTTGCATTTTAGATAGGATTTATTCAGCAAAATTTAAGGGTGACGTCATCAATTTTTTTAGGAGGGATGAACAAATACATTTTGAACAAAAGTTTACCATGCTTATAATAACTTTAAAATATTCCCAAGATTTCAAAGCATTCGGTTTTGTAATTCCTGATTAAATCGATAAAATAAATTCACGCCTTCATTAATTTTTTTGAGTCACCCTGCATATGCAAATCCAAAAATATGAATGGAATGATAAATCACAAGTACAGACTCATCATATTTTGTACATTTTAGATACGATTTATTCGGCAAACTTTTGAGCTGACGTCATCAGTTTTTTGTAGAAGATAACCAACTATATTTTGACTAAAAATTTATTATGCTCTTTATAACCTTAAAACATCTGCAAGATTTCAAAGTATTCGGTTTTGTAGTTCCTGATTAAATCAATAAAATAAATTTACGCATTCATTAATTTTTTTGAGTAACTCTGTATATGCAAATCCAAAAAATATGAATGGAGTGATAAATGACAAGTACAGGCTCATCATATTTTGTACATTTTAGATATGATTTATTCGGCAAACTTTCGAGCTGACGTCATCAAGTTTTTGGAGGGGATAAGCAAATATATTTTGACTAAACATTTATTATGCTCTTTATGACCTTAAAACATCTGCAAGATTTCAGAGCATTCGGTTTTGTAGTTCCTGATTAAATCAATAAAATATATTTACGCATTCATTAATTTTTTGAGTCACCCTGTATATGCAAATCCAAAAAATATGAATGGAGTGATAAATGACAAGTACAGGCTCATCATATTTTGTACATTTTAGATATGATTTATTCCACAAACTTTTGAGCTGACATCATCAAGTTTTTGGAGGGGATAAGCAAATATTTTTTGACTAAAGATTTATGATGCTCTTTATAGCCTTAAAACATCTGCAACATTTCAAAGCATTCTGGTTAGCAGATTAAAAATTAAATTTCAAAATGTTGTTTTATAATTTTGATTTTTTTTCCAAAAATCTGGACGTTTCGAGTGAAAAGTCGATTCAGAGTTGTAAACTACATGTGTAGGACTATGTTATTTTATACAATTGAAAACCCATTTACTATGTACAATTTTGAAGTGACGTCATCGCTTTAGTGGTGGGGATGATTCGACAAATTTTGGTTAGCGTTTTACCATCTACATGATATTCTTAATATAAGTACAAAATTTCACAACAATCGGTCGAGTACTTTCGGAGATTATCTGTCTAATAAAAATCCGTGACAACAGACGGACAGACGGACAGACGGACAGACGGACAGACGGACAGACGGACAGACAGACGGAAATGGGAGACCTATTTCTTCGTCTTCTAGGGGTCATGAAAGATCGAGAAAACGTAAAAGTAGAGAGTCGGCCGACGGACTCGATTACAATACTTCCTTTGCTTACGCTCGGGAAGTAAAAAAGGTTTAAATTCAACATCATTATCGGCAAAACAAAAAAGTCAAGTTAAAAAAAAGTTAACAATCGCCCTGTAGTACATAATGTAAACAAATTTTGAGGAAATTAAAAGGAAATAATAGGAAATCAAGAGGAAATCACAGGAAATCATAGGAAATCAAGAGGAAATCATAGGAAATCAAAGGAAATCACAGGAAATCAAAGGAAATCACAGGAAATCAAAGGAAATCAGAGGAAATCAAAAGAAATCGAGGAAAATCAACAGGAAATCATTGTCAAGAGGAAATCAATTGTACACTTGATGGTCGGCGGTTTACCCCTCGTTTTTTCTAAAGAAATGTGGATTTTGTAATTAAGATTCGTCCTTCGAAGTGACAATAAATGAAAAATTCATCACAATTGAGATAGGAGCGGGTGGGTGGGGCTTAATCATTGGTTTGTTTTTCTTAATGTATAGAGTTTACTTTCAACAACATAATACTTGAAACATATATAATTCTAACCTCGAGTTCACCTTTCGCTATTTTAAGTATTTTATTATTGAAATGGATAAAGCCCCACCCACCCGCCCCTTCTCAATTGTAAGGATTTTTTTTATTCGTCGTGAAATCGAGTAAAGTACATATTTCTGTACAAGATTATCGCATTGTTTTGAAAAAAATAGGGAACGAAAAAAAGAAAAAACTTCACAAAAGTAAAACTTTACAAAATTTTGCCAACATAGCAGCGCCATTAAACAGATTAAACAAGAAAAATGTGCAATTTAGTTGGAACGTGGAATGTCAAAACTCTTTTGAAACATTGAAAAATGCTTTAGTAAAACCACCAGTTTTCCAGTATCCAAATTTTGCGGAAAATAACACTTTTACTTTAAAAACGGACGCTTCTTCCATTGCATTAGGAGCCGTATTTCAGTAATATGTCATTTATATTTATTTTTCATGATACTAAAATACAAAAGGAAATCGGTTAGAATGCGAGCGCAGCGAGAATGTGTAGGTGTTATTAAAAATAATAATTCACTGTTGTCCCTGAGAAGCTAAATTATAAAAAAAATATACTAGTATTAATTTGTTATTTGCCTTACAGGCTTAATAAGATTCCCAATAAAAATAAATAAAATAAAATAATAATATAAAATTAACCTCCAGCTATCACTTCACATATTCTTTCTTTCACTCCTTCTGCCCTGAACATCCACGCCTCGTTCTGGATTCCATCCCCTCCTGGTGCCTTTCCTCTTTTCAGTCTTTCAATCTGTCTTCCTATTTCATCTTCTGTTATTTCCGTACCTGTCCACATTTCTTCCGTCGTTGTGATTCCTTTATTTTGCAGCATTTTTCCTCACAACCTTCCAATAATTCCATAAAGTGTCTTTTCCATTCATGTATTTTGATTTTCCTACTGACTTCAGTCTTCCTTCTCCGTTCCTTGTTTATATCTCCATACTTCTTCTTCTGTTTTCAGGGACTTTATTATCTTCTCCTCTTCTCGTTTTTCTCTTTTTCTTTCTTCACATTTTCTCCTATAATTCTCTCTTGCTTTAACGTACTCTTCTTTCCGTCCCCTGTTATTCTTCCATTTTCTTAATTTTCCCTTGCTTTTCTCTTCAACTCACTACATTCTCCGTTCCATCCATTATTCCTCCCTTGCCATATGTATATCTTTCTTTTTTTCCGTAGCTTCTATAATTAAGTTGATCAGTTCTGCTATCATAGCTTCTACATCTTCTTTTACTTCAAATTGCTTTTTTTCTAGTATACTTTTGTATCTTTGAATTCCCTTTTCATCCCATATTCTTTTTTCTATTTCTTTTCTTTCGTTTCTTTTCTCTTGTTTTTCGTACTCGCACAAAAAACCGGTTTGTTTTACAACAACAATAAACACAGATGTCTTGCGCGTTTGAATGGTGCCCATTTTCAAACATTCATAAACTACGCCACTGGTACGAAATCTTTTGAAAGAAAATTGTATAATGGGTTGCCTATCCACAATGTCATTTAACAAATGGCGACTTCATTTTGATAATTGACATTTAACCATAAAGTTTCTAGATTTCTAGGTTAGGTGCCATGTGCTTGCATCCCTTCAAAACAAACAGTCAATAAAATGCAACTAACGAAAAGTGCAAGGGCTTTCGATGCCCGAAAAGTCGAAGAAACCCTAAAAACCGAAAACAAATTCATAAGTGACTTATTTTCAATTTTGTCACTTCCTACAAGAAACGGTGCGTATATCAAACAATCCATTTTTGCATTACTAACCCCTACTTTAGACGACAGCCCCGACGAAGATGAACAAACCGAACCCACCAAACCCAAACTCTTCAACAAAAACGAAAAAACCAGAGCAAAATCCCTCAACGAGCTCCAGGAGCGGCTCCACGCCATAACCAGCAGGAAAAAACTAACCTACAAGGATAAAGTGGCCAAAAAGAACCTAAAAAGTCGCTTGAAGAAGAAAAATAAACAGGATGAACGTAACGCGCAGCAGAAACTACTACGAGCGGAAAAATCATTGAAGAAAGAACCTGAAACGAATAATTTAGTGAAGCCCGCCAAACCCGTCTTCAACAGCGAGGGGAAAATGGTGTTTTCCAAGTTCGATTTTTCAAATTTGGGCACAAAGAAAGAAAAGAAACAAGAGAAGGACCCTAAGAAAATATTAAAACAACTGGAGGACCAAAAAGAGAAGCTTGAAGAGTTACAAGAGAGTGGCGACGTGGGGAAAGTGGTAGAAATTAAAGAGAAAACGGCGTGGAAGAACGCGTTAGCTAAAGCGGAAGGAAAGAAGGTGAAGGACGACCCTGCCTTATTAAAAAAGAGTGTTCACAAGCAGGAGCAGAAAAAACGAGCTAGTAAGAAAAAGTGGGAAAAGAGGCAAGAAAACGTGGAGAAGGGCAAGAAGGAGCGCCAGGACAAGCGAACGGCCAATATCGAGAAACGGAAAAAAGAGAAGAAAAATAAAAAACTTAAAAAAGCTGTAAAGAAAGGGAAGATCATTCCTGGGTTTTAGGTGTAAATAAATTTTCATTTTTTATTATTTTATTATTTGTTTTTACAAAACCAGTCCTGACACAATTTTTACACTTTAATACTTAAAAAGTCACTCTTGTCTATAAATTTTCGATTTAAACACAGCCTTATCGAGAATGTCACTGAACGTCTGCTGCACGAGACTACACAGTTCTTTGCTTTCTTGGGCCGAGACTTCCAGTTCTTTGCCGAGGTGGGCATCGAAGTGGGAGGCTAGTGAAGCTTGGGATTCGCATATTCTGGCTAGTTGCATCATTAGGTTGACTATGTCGTCTACTAGGGGCGGGAAGGCTTCGCTTATTCTGACCAGGGCTGGTAGAATAGGTTTGAAGAGTTTGACGCGTTGGCTGCTTGATAAACCTGGGGAGGTGGAAATGTTTATAACTGGGGAAAATTAACATTAATAACTTACTTCCAAGTAGTGCATACAGTAGATTTAATGCTACTATGCACAAATTGAGACTTTTGGGTAAGGCGTACTGTATGCACAGGTGCGATAAGAGTTGGATGGCGAAGATCTGCTTGTTTAAGCTTGGTTGCTGCATGAGTTCCTGGAGGAAGTCCAAGCAGATGTGCATGGAAGGCACACCTTTGACTATCACATCGATGAGCTCACTTGGGTATCCCTATACGTTGATAAAAATCACTGGATTTAACAAACTCACAATTTTTATAAATATTTATGAAAATGTAAGGTGGAACGCTAGGCAAGCTTGAATATTATTGATTATTAAAGGTTTTTATTATGGAAAAAAAGGATATATATTTTATATATATATTTTTCTCTTGTTAATATCTATAGCTCTAACTGCAATTTGTTTTTCTTTAAAGAATGTGAATAAAATTCAATGCTTTTCCCACATTACAACGAGGCGGCAAACGCAAAATGCACGAAATTTCAAAGCCACTGTATTTTGGGACTTTTAAATTTTTCGATGTTTCGACTTTTCGTGTTTTTGATTTTTTACTTATGTATTCGATTTTTCAAAATATTGCGACTTTTTAAATCTTACATTTTTCGATTTTTCGAATTTTTAAATTTTAGATTTTTCAATTTTTGTTGTTTCGATTTCTGTCTCTGGATTTTTCAATTTTTCGGAATTAATTTTTCAGTTTTTCGATGTTTTGATTCTTCACTTTTTCGGTTTATCGTTTTTTTTAAGAATGATGTTTTGATTTCTCGATTTTGAAAATTTTCAATTTTTCGAATTTTTAAATTTCAGATTTTTCACTTTTTTGTTGTTTCGATTTCTCAGTCTCTGGATTTTTCAGTTTTTCGACTATTTGTCTTTCTAAATTTTTGGATTTTTCGATTTCTAATGTTCTGGATTAATGTATTTTTAATTTTTTGTCTTTTCGATTTTTCGTCTTTCCGAATTCTCGATTTCTCAATTTTTCGATTTCACAAATTTTCAATGTTTAAGTTTTGGGATTTTTCAATATGTATTTCGATTTTTAAATTTATAGATTTTTCGACTTTCTGTATTTTTGATTTTTTACTTATTAGATTTTTCAAAATTTTGCGACTTTTTAAATCTTCCATTTTGTAAAATTTCAATTTTTCGAATTTTAAAATTTTAGATTTTTCAATTTTTCGGGATTAATTTTTCAGTTTTTCGATATTTCGATTTTTTAATTTTGAATTTTTCCATTTTTTGATCTTTAGCTATTTCGATATTTCAATTTTTCGACTTCTCGATCTTTTGATGTTTCGATTTCTTGTTTTTTCAATTTCTCAGTTTTTCGATTATTCGAGTTTCCAATTTTTCGACGTTTCAGTTTGAGATTTATGTATTTAAATTTTTCGGTTTCTCAACTTTTCGATTAACGATTTTTAAATTTTTTCTTTTCGATTTTTCGTCTTTCCGATTTCTCAAATTTTCAATGTTGAAGTTTTGGGATTTTTCAATACGTACGTATTTCGATTTTTAAATTTTTAGACTTTCTGTTTTTTAATTTTTTTCTTATTCGATTTTTCAAAATTTTGCGACTTTAAATTTTCCATCTGTCGATTTTTCATTTTTTTTTTATTTTTCGATTCGTTGATGTGTTGATTTCTCGACTTTGTAAATTTTCAATTTTTGGAATTTTTAAATTTAATTTTTTCACTTTCGTGTTCCGATTTCTAAGTCTTTCGATTTTTTGCTTTCTTATTTTTAGATTTTTCGATGTTTCAATTTCTCGGAATTAATTTTTCAATTTTTCGATGTTTCCAATTTTTCGATTTTCGGTTTTTAAATTTTTTTGATTATTCGAGTTTACAAATTTTCAACATTTCAGTTTTGGGATTTATGCATTTAAATTTTTCGATTTCTCAATTTCTCAAATTTTCAATGTTCAAGTTTTGGGATTTTTCAAATGTATTTCGATTTTTAAATTTTTACATTTTTCGAATTTTTGATTTTGTACTTATTCGATTTTCCAAAATTTTGTGACTTAAATCTTACATTTTTCGATTTTTAAATTTTAGATTTTTCGCTTTTTTGTTGTTTCGATTTCTTAGTCATTCGATTTTTTGCCTTCCCAGTTTTAGATTTTGCGATATTTCAATTTTTCAGAATTCATTTTTCAGTTTTATCCAGTTTTTAAGTCTAAATTTTTCAATTTTGAATGTTCCCATTTTTCGATCTTTAGTTATTACAATATCTCAATTTTTCGATTTTTCGACTTCTCGATCTTTTGATGTTTTGATTATTCGAGTTTCTAATTTTTCGACCTTTCAGTTTTGGAATTTATGTGTGTATATTTTTTGATTTTTCAATTTTTGGCGTTTATAAATTTTTTGACTTTTCTATTTTTCGTCTTTCTGATTTCTGGATTTCTCAAATTTTCAAAGTTTAAGTTTTGGGATTTTCAATATGCATTTAGATTTTTAAATTTTTAGATTTTTCGACTTTCTGTATTTTTGATTTTTTATTTAATTTTTTACTTATTTGTTTTTCAAAATTTTCAATATTTCGATTTCGATTTCTGGATTTCTCAGTTTTTCCATTATTCGAGTTTCCAATTTTGCGACCTTTCAATTTTTTATTTTATTTTTTACTTATTTGATTTTTCAAAATTTTCAATTTTGCGACCTTTCAGTTTTGGGATTTATGTATGTAAATTTCTGGATTTTCCAATTTTAAAATTTTTGGAATTTTCGATTTTTTAATTTCTCGATTAATGGATTTTTTAATTTTTTGACTTTCCGATTTTTCGTCTTTTTGATTTTTCAAATTATCAATGCATAAGTTTTGGGATTTTCCAACATGTACTCGTATTTCAATTTTTTTAATTTTTAGATTTTTCGACTTTGTTTTTTGATTTTTTACTTAATCGATTTTTCAAAAATTTGCGACTTTTAAATCTTACATTTTTGATTTTTCGATTCGTTGATGGCTTTTTTCTCGATTTTGCAAATTTTCAATTTTTCGAAGTTTCAATTTTCCCATTTTTCGATCTTTAGTTATTTCGATTTTTCAATTTTTCGACTTCTCGACTCATCGATCGTTTGATTTTGCATTTTTTCAATTTTTCGTTTTCGATTTCTCAGTTTTTCGACTATTTGTCTTTATATGTGTAATTTTTGGATTTTTCAATTTTATAATTTTTGACGCTTCTAAATTTTTGGATTTTTCGATTTCTCATGGTCTCGATTAATGTATTTTTAATTTTTTGACTTTTCGATTTTTCGTCTTTCCGAATTCTTGATTTCTCGATTTTTCGATTTCACAAATTTTCAATGTTTAAGTTTTGGGATTTTTCAATATGTATTTCGATTTTTAAATTTTTAGATTTTTCGACTTTCTGGATTTTTGATTTTTTACTTATTAGATTTTTCAAAATTTTGCGATTTTTTAAATCTTCCATTTTTTAGATTTTTCATTTTTTGATTCGTTGATGTTTTGATTTTTCAATTTTGTAAATTTTCAATTTTTCACTTTTCTGTTGTTTCGATCTGTCTTTCGATTTTTTGCCTTCTCATTTTTAGATTTTTCAATTTTTCGAAATTAATTTTTTAGTTTTTTAATTTTTCGAAATTAATTTTTTAGTTTTTCAATTTGTGACCAGTTTTTTGTTTAAATTTTTCAATTTTGAATTTCCCCATTTTTTGATCTTTAGCTATTTCGATATCTCAATTTTTCGATTTCTCGACTTCTCGATCTTTTGATGTTTCGATTTCTTGTTTTTTCAATTTCTCAGTTTTTCGACTATTCGAGTTTCCAATTTTTCGACGTTTCAGCTTGGGATTTATGTATTACAATTTTTCGATTTTTAAATTTTTACACTTTGAATTTTCCATTTTTCGATTTTTCAATTTTTTTGATTTTTCGATTCGTTGATGATTTGATTTCTCGACTTTGTAAATTTTCAATTTTTCGAATTTTTAAATTTAAATTTTTTCACTTTCGTGTTTCGATTTCTCAGTCTTTCGATTTTTTGCCTTCTCATTTTTAGATTTTTCGATGTTTCAATTTCTCGGAATTAATTTTTCAGTTTTTCGATATTTCGATGTTTCAAATTTCTCGATTCTCGGCCTTCTTTTGATGTTTCGGTCTTTAAATTTTTCGGAATTAATTTTTCAATTTTTTGACGTTTCGATTCTTCCCTTTTTCGGTTTATCGTTTTTTTAAGTTAAAATTTGTCAATTTTGAATTTTCTCAGTTTTCGATTTTTAGCCACTTCGATCTCCCAATTTTTCAATTTTCCGATTTCGAATTCTCAGTTTTTAGAAAATTTATCTTTTTGATTATTCGAGTTTACAAATTTTCGACATTTCAGTTTCGGGATTTATGTATTTACATTTTCAATTTTTCAATTTTTGGCTTTTCTAAATTTTTGGATTTTTCGATTTCTCAATTTCTCAAATTCTCAATGTTCACGTTTTGGGATTTTTCAAATGTATTTCGATTTTTAAATTTTTACATTTTTCGATTTTTCACTTTTTTGTTGTTTTGATTTTTTAGTCATTCGATTTTTTGCCTTCTCAGTTTTGGATTTTGCGATTTTTCAATTTTTCAGAATTCATTTTTCAGTTTTATTCGGTTTTTAAGTCTAAATTCTTCAATTTTGAATGTTCCCATTTTTCGATATTTAGTTATTACGATATCTCAATTTTTCGATTTTACGGCTTCTCGATCTTTTGATGTTTCGATTATTCGAGTTTCTAATTTTTCGACCTTTCAGTTTTGGAATTTGTGTGTAAATTTTTTGATTTTTCAATTTTTGGCGTTGTAAATTTTTTGATTTTTCAATTTTTGGCGTTTATAAATTTTTTGACTTTTCTAATTTCCGTCTTTCTGATTTCTGGATTTCTCAAATTTTCAAAGTTAAGTTTTGGGATTTTTCAATATGCATTTAGATTTTTAAATTTTTAGATTTTTCGACTTTCTGTATTTTTGATTTTTAATTTTATTTTTTACTTATTTGATTTTTCAAAATTTTCAATATTTCGATTTCGATTTCTCGATTTCTCAGTTTTTCGATTATTCAAGTTTCCAATTTTGCGACCTTTCAATTTTTTATTTTATTTTTTACTTACATATTTGATTTTTCAAAATTTTCAATTTTTCGATTTCTCGATTTCTCAGTTTTTCGATTATTCGAGTTTCCAATTTTGCGACCTTTCAGTTTTGGGATTTAT